TAAAACTGCACAGTCTAAGTCACCTTGGCACATGATTTTTAATCATCTAACCTGTTCTTAATGTGACATAGCAGGAGAGAAATCCTCTCTAATACACATTTTTTTTTTCTTATCAAATCATTTATCATAAGTTCTTGTGGGACCTATTTTATATAAATGGGTCCCTTATTAATATATGATAAGTGATTTATAAAAAAGAAAAAAAATATTTGTATTGAAGGAGATCTTGATCCGATAAAAGTTAGTCTATGAGGTGATGTGATTGCTCCAAAGTGCAAGGCAAACTAATAACTGTTTCATATTTTGGTTTGATTTGGCATTAAAAACATCTAGTTCGTTAATTGTAGTGGATAATAGTTCATGCAATTTGGATAATAAAAGACTCCAATATCATAGAAATAATTCTTAAACTTGTGATGGACATTGATAATTACACGTTTACTACAATTGTTAGGCCCACAATAATTACACTTATTGTTTTTTTTTTTTGGCATTAAATAATCTATGTTAAAGTCATGAAATTAATTTAGCATACTCATAAATCTATTGGCCGGACTTCATTAGAAATGTCAATTAATTTAGTTAATCTTTTCGGATATCAATAACATGATATGTCTATTAACCGTGTCGTATTTGAATTGACATGCAAAATCGTAAATAAAAAATTTAGAATTTCAACTCATTTATCTTTCAACCAAATTCATCATTTATCTGATTCTAGCAAACGAAAACGAGCACAAAACCTCCTTGTTTTTTAAAAATTAATACATAATCTATTACAAAATAAATATTTGACTATATATATATATCCTTTAGTAAAATATTATTTAGGACGATTTGTTGAGACATCTACGTCGAATACTTATCCAATCATGCATGTTATTGGTCATATTATTTCTTATAATTCGTGTCAAAAAATGATTAATGAAGACTTTACTCTCATACCAGGCAGCTATTGAATGAAGAGTGACACGCAGAGAAAGTTTGTGATTGATTCCTGATTATCCATTAAGGATTTGACTTGAGGTTAGGCATATTATCATTAAGACACACACTTGATCAGGAACTTTCAAGCAGCTGACTTCTGACTTAATATATTTTTAAATTCTTTCATGAACTTAATTTAGCATCATTATAATGACCCTAATCTTTTTTTGGACAAAAGAAGAGAGTAACAGATTTAGAATAAAAAAAATTGGTAAGGCTTTAAATCCTTTTTTCAAATGTATCAAGACCCTTTCTATATTTTGGCAACCGGAAAAAGGCATACACAATACACAAGACTCTTATTATTGTGGGGTCTGAAGAGGGTTAAATTTATACAACTTTGTTCATGTAAGTGGATAGACTATTTTCGCGATTTGAATCTGTGACCTTTAAATCATAATAGAGTAACTTGTATTTAGTATTAATAGAGGGACTTTTTTCGAACAGATAATAACTGATGATGCAAGAAACTAGATGTATGAGTAGAGGAAAGGCTGAACAATTCTTCTAAGCCGTTGAATGGTCGATATTAGCACGTGTATATGTGTGTATAATAATAATAATAAAAATACAAAGAATTAAATAGTTAGTCTACTTCAACAGATTCTTTTGCTCTCTGATTTTCTATTTCTGGGAAGTAGAAGACGGTGATAAGTCCAACTGAATAAAGTAGCTCCCTCTCGTTTGCTTGGACGGCAAAGGTTTGCTTATATACTTTTAATCTAGATTGGTTCCTGGCCAAGATGAGGTGATCTCCTGTTTATTAGAATTATATAAGAGAATTTTTGATTGTGGCCGATTATACGCTTTAAGTGTGACGTGATTTTTTAAAAATTGATGAGGTGACATGGGTCATTTCTTTATGGATTAGACTTTGTCAAGTAAATAGGCCTGACAATCGTGTTGAGCGAAATGGTTTCGTGTCGAGTGGAATGAGTTTGTGTCAAAAAACCTTTCATCCCTACCCTATTCGTTTGTATAAACGAGTCCAACTATCACACCCATAGACGAATCATTTATTAGACGAGTTAACTGATACAACCTCTGTGTCACCTGTTAAATAACCGAATAAGTTAGAATATTTTGAGTACATGCGAAAAATCATCAACTTGCTACACATTACACATATTTGACTTGTTTATTATAACAATAAATCATGGTTGAACAAGAAAATAATGACAAAAAATAAAAATTAAATGACTACTAAATTTGAATGAGTCTAAGAAATGGGAGGTGTGAGATGAGATAGAGGCTAAGAGACCTAACTTTTTTAAAAAAAATTATAGTACCACTGTTAACGAGTTAAATAGATTGAAAAGAATTTATAGGTTAAACACAAAATCGATTCATTTATTTTACAGGTCTATCGAGTTAACCCGTTAATTACTCGATCCCGTTAAAACTACACCTAAATCCACTAAATCCGTATCGGATTTGTGTTGATTTTATCAATCGTGTCTAAAATTGCCGAGCCTACAACTAAATCTCCATCCAGTCCTTCCTTAGGCTTGATGGACCGTCTAGAGTATTGTTTTGGGCTTTTATCTTTGATGGGCCAACCTGGCCTTGGCTTAGAATGGGCCCTTCTGATGGCTGAGTTGGGCTTATCTCTGAGTATTTTTCCTTCGGTTATTATGGAATGCCCAGTCTCATTTGAGCTGGGCTCAAACTGATTCTAACAGATGTATCATTAACATTTACATCAATAAAACTAGGGGTGAGGGTGCGGTTGTAGGTGTGACACATAAATACTTCTAGGGTCGGTGATAGTTAAGCGTGACAGTATCATGTCGGCTTGTGTTTGTGTCGTGTTATTTTGGATTTGTGTCGAGCATTACTTAATTTTAGTCCAACCTGTTTAACTACTGGTGTCGTGTCATGTTGGGTCGTTTCGTGTCAACTTATTTATTTTTTATATCGTGTTTGTGTTGACCCAAATAATCCGTGAATAAAAAAATTAACTCGCAATTTTATGTCTAACATTTCATTATCACTTAATTGAATCTATGCACATATTTTTTGTATAAACTAAAAATTTAACATAATAAATATATTAATAAAATAAGTTTGTTTTGTAGAAGAATTAGGTCGCTATTTGATAAAATATAATAAAAATATAATATTTTATGCTTAGAATATTACTTAAACGTATTAATTGTATTGTTTGTATTTGACACTAATTCAACTCATTTATTATTCATGTTAACGGATCGTGTTATATACGCGTTCATGTGAATAAATGGTCAATTTTAAATAATATTTTTATATTATGTCAGAAAATATCATCCCTATTTATAGTAAACGAACTGACGGGGATTAGGGAGGGGATGGGTCCATACTCTACTGGCAAGTTTGATTCGTGTTGCTCATTAAGATTTTGGTGCGTGTGGTTGGGTCATTAAGCAACCAACAGTCTTTATGGATGTTATTTTAGGAAACACCTCATCGGAATTATAGCCGAAGTTATGATTCATTCGAGCAAAGTTTCAATTTAACTGATCGATTAAAATTGTTGATATTCTGATCGATCTATTGAATCATAACTTTAACCCCCTGATTGAGTCAAAATTTGTCTAGTTGATTGTAATTATTTTTATTATAATATTTCTTGCATATATGCGTGTAAATCGATCGAATTTGAATCCATTTAACTAGATATGAACCAATATTTTTATTCGTTTATCAAATGGTAATAAGTTGGCTTCGTCTCTCGGCCAACCTCAACTCCTTCAGTGACCAAGTTGAAGCCTTCAACAGTCTTCGACCTATCATCTTTCTTTTTCAAGGTTGAATTTATTCAATTAAAATTAATATTATGCTGTCCTTCCCTTATTCAAGAGAAAACGATGACTTAATCTATTTAAATATCTTAAATCGGATATGAATATAAATATATACAAATTTGATTAGATAAAAATTTGATTCAATTAATATATATATATATAATATGTATGTTGGCCTTTGTTATATATAATATGTATACTATCAATAACCTCGTGCCTAAAAATACTATGCAATGCAAAAAATCGAACATTGATCGTGTAACATTTATATTTTAAATATCAATTTTTTTCTTTAATTACGCAATTTAGAATTAAAGTGAATAGAGAAAAAAATAAAAAAGAGGTAAGTGAAAGAGAAGAGATAAGTAGGTGTATGGATTAATGAAACTATTTGATATTGGAAAGTGTGTAAGTTGAGTAATTGGTATTTACTTTTTGCTTATCCACTATGTTTTTTTCTTTTGAGTTCTTCCCCCGCCTAATCCTGATGTTTGAGGTCGATGGTGTATTCGGTATGCTCTTTCAGTATTCATCTTCAGAGCCCGATCAGATGCTTCAATCTTTCATTCATATTCTGTCTCAATATCTTTTTTCTTGTCAATATTTCGAGTTCGAATGTTTTACTAGTCTTCCACTTGTCTGATATTAAGAGTAATGAAGAAAAGATAATATTTTTTAGAGAAAAAAAAATTAGGATAAATTTGTACTATGAATCAATCTTATCGAATAAGGATTTAGTCTTAGCATATTCATGTAATAGTCGGGTTAACTCGTCATACAAAAATATGAATCCCAACAAATAGATGTCTACACGAGGCTTATATGTGATCAATTGAAAATGACATCATTTAATTCTATATGATTATAAGTAGATCGAATATACGTTAACTAAATTTGACACAATAAAATTTAAATAAAATATAAATTTGACATTACACGACTCATATATTGCAGATCAAATCAAGAAGAGAATCAGCAGCCCTCTTGACAGGGATGGATGATGATGAAAGTGGAGTGCTGTCTACTTTATGCCATATGAGTTCTTTTTTCATGATAATGGTATGTCATAGTGCAAATTAAAAAACCACCTTTTGTGCAATACGAATGGTATTAAACTAGATAAAAGGGGAAGAGAAAGTAGGATAACAATATCAAAACAAGCATATGGGTCCTTTTTGCAATGGCCTCCTACCTCCAATTCTTTAGTGAAAACACCCCTTCTCCTTCCCCTCAACCTGCATCCATGATGACCCTTCATCATCATTATTATGATAAGGTTGAAGAAAATACTACAATGCCATTACATTATTATAAGGACAAGATTATAACTCAATCTCATGATATTATTACCAAATATGATGTTTGGAATTCATCGTAACACTTGGGGTCAATACCGATCTCTTTTGAGTTATAACTTGACCCTATTTATGGTCTATTTGGTTGGGTGGATGAAAAATAAAAAATAAAAAATAGGAATGATATATATTTTATTCTTTAATGGATGAATCATTCATTCCCTCATTTGTATTTTAATGTTTAGTAGAAGGAATGAAAAATAGAAAGTATTGATAATGAAAAAAAATATATACATATTTTATCATTATATCTATATATAAATTTAATATATACATAATATATAATAAATGAATATGATATAGGCATATATTAAATGATACATATGTAAATAACATACATTTTAACACATTAACTTTCCATCTACCTTTTCTCCAAATTTTGGAGGAATTGATTTTGGTAAGTTAGAAAGAAAACTAATCTATCCACTTTTTCATCATTTTTTTTTTTTGTTCTTTACCAAATATGATGTTTTATCTATCATTTTAATTTTTCATTCTTCAAATTTTCCATCATTCCATTTTCTATCGTACCAAACAAAACATTAACTAAATTGTATCATATATATTTAGAATGAGTTTTAATTAATTCTTTCTTTTTTTGTAAATTGACATATGGTACCAAACTTGATACCGTAGTCTTATACTAAGGGTGGTAATAAAAGGCTCAAAAATGAGGGAGAGTAGGACTTCACCTACTGCTTTTCTGCAAAATGAGAGAAGAACTATCACCACTGCGACGCCTGCCACTACGCCGACGATTATGGCTACTGTTTTTCCTACTTCATCCTTGTCGGAGGAATCTATATAAACAACAATAGCAAGAGCATTAACAAATATTACTATGGTATGCATGAAGTGAACGATTTTCTACAATACAGAAACTTACAATCCATATCGAATAACAACCACAATACATTAAATTACAAGACAAGAGGGTCTATTTAGGATTAATTAAAAAAATTGGGACTATTCTTAATATTTTTTTAATCAATCCCAAAATTTTAAATCTTGCTGATAATATTTTATAGACCTTACTGGATCGTAACCTTCTGTAGTAGGTATCGGATTAATACAATAGATTTTTCCTAAACATAGACAAGACATTAAACAAGGTTGTCACTCCCATTTACTTGTCCTTAAATATTTGTTTTCATCCTTTTTAGTTTTAATTACTTATTGATTATAAGGGTCTTTACCGAAGATTGCAGATAATGAACTACAATAATTTAAAGAGTTTTTGCTTTCTTGCAACTATATGGGGGTTGACATGATTACCGTGGGACACTATGCTTTTCTTTTCTTTTAGTACATCTCTCTAGTCCATCAAATGCAACTTTAAAGCAAATCATGAATCTTATAATGGAAGCACTAAAACCCAACTTTAATATGGATTTTTTACAGACTTAATGATTATAAAATAATGTGGAAAGTTTTTTAGTATTTTGCAAATATCGGATAAAAATACAGAATATCCATAAAATTTTTGCATTCATACCTAACTCGCATGTATATTTAACTTTATTAAAAAATAATGTGTGTTATAAAATGATGTTATTGTATTCGTCATAAAACAATATCGTTTAGGAAGTATATTACTTATGATTGTGTTTTATTTCTGTGGTTTTAGAGTATTCGAGAACATATTAATCAGATTTATTGTGTTTTTTTTAGTTTTATTAGTTTATTGTGTTAGTTTACATATTTTTATATTATATTTTAACAATCTAGTTATAAAAATAGACCAAAAATTTGTTAATTGAGTTGTTAAAATGACACAAAAATTAATAACTTAAAATTTAAAAATTTGTGAGGCATTCCGCATTTTTGCCGGACCTTTCGAGCCAATTTTTTTGGACGAAATTCGGCTCGGAATATTACCTTTAATTGAGTAAGGTTGACCAAAGGAATAGTCTTCCGTTAATTATCGACTCAGATCCTGGAATTCAAAAATTCCTACTCGTCGGCTTGGATGAATAGCCTATTCAAAGTTTTCTCTATGTTTATTTTGTAGTTCGTTGAGGAAAAATGCTATATTAACCAAATACAGTTATCAAAAACCAGAGCTAAATAATGTTTTTAGGTTGAATTTTGTCCATTTAAAATTTAAGTTTTACTATGACCCCTCGTTTAGTTTCGGACTGGCAACCACAAAACTAAATTAATACCTCCGCCAAACATCAAAGGTAACTTACAACAAAGCAAAGCAAAGCAAAAGTAGGGAAAAAGAGAAGAGAAGATTAAAAATGTAAGGGAGAAATGACAAGACCCTATGTGACCAAAAGGAAGCGTTAATTAAAGTAGCATCCCCCCCCCAGCAACAAGGCTTTATGCTTTATAAAACGATTCGCTCTTGACCTTAGGGTTTGAATATTTTTGGAGTGGGTTCTTTTTCTTTGTTTCTCCAGTAAACTAAAGTGGTCAGAATGTTAAAAAAGAATGAAGTTCACATCTTTATCTGTTCACTGGCCATAGACTTTGTCTTTCGAGCTGGGTTCTTGTGGCTGTCCTTATAGGTAGTTCTTGTTGAATAGTCTTATCTTATCTCAATTGGAAATCTTGTATCTTATCTAGACCGCTGACAGTCTTAGCTTGAGCCACTATAACATTGGGATCAAATGCGTCCTGCCTTTAACGAAGATGAACAGAAACTCTTTGAGACGTCTAGTTCGGATCTTGGCCTATTCTATTTGTCAACAACCTCCTTGCATGGTTAAAAACCACTCGACTAGGGGTGGCAATTGTGTTTTTGTGTAAAGTTTGTGGCATATTACAATTTGTTTAACTTAAATCGGACTTATTAATATATAGTGATGAGTAATTATATTTATGTTATAAATTGTTCGAGCATAATCACACATAACTGTGGTCATATCAACCTATTTACTAAATGAATTTGGTCAGTCAACCCAATTATAATACAACTCATTTAGATTGATTGTATACCTGATATATTTTTGTATCAGTTTAACGAGTAGTGCTTACACTAACCATTATAATCACACATAACTCTAGTCATATCAATCCATTTAGTAAATGAATTTGGTCAGTCAACCTTAATATAATCCAAACCATTTAGATTAATTGTATATCCGAAAAATCTGTATATATTTTGTATCAGCTTGACGAGTCAAGCTAACACTAGCAAAATTGGCAAGGACAGACATTATAAGAATTAACGTCTTCTGATACAAATTTTTTATGACAGTTGTCTTCACTATCACAAGATTTATTTGTTATCTCTAATATTATTTAAGACGGATCATTGTTTTTGAGACTTCACTTATTATGACGGCATTCATCGCCAATATAAATAGAATTTCAAAAAGTCTTTAAAACGGGAACGAGTCATCACAAATAATATTTGTGACACCAAATAACTCTTTTGTGACAGTATTATCGTCATGAAATTTTTTTTTCTTCAAAATTGGTTTTTTTTTTTTTTTTGTCTGTGACGGTGAACACAATTGTCCCAAAAAACTTGTCTCTCTTTGTCCTAATTCTTGTAGTGGAGAGGAAAAAACTGTGATTTTGGTGGGAACTTTAAGCGGAAAAAGATGAGTATTACCAGAAGAAGCATCATAGTATCCAGATGCCCAGTACCGAGCATAACACTGCGCCAAGAACACGTCCGATGCTTCAGCAGATCCACACAAACTCTTCAACTTCACAAGAGCCTCAGAAAGACAAGAAGAGCAATCCACTGCACTCAAATCCCCCAAACACTGTGCAACACCTTCAATCAAACCTGAAGAACTAACCCTAAACCCTATTGCACCCTGCAAATCAGCGAGAACATCGTCTCTTCGCCGAAAAAACTCCACATCATTACTCACACTTCTACTGCACTTTCTGTATCTAAGACTTGTGTCCAGTTTTCCCAGAAAATCTGTGTGCTCAAATCTCACAAAACAACCATCTAATTGCAGACTAGCCCCATATGTGTAAGGACACACCAACCCAATTTGGCTAACAGCACTTGAAATGCATCTGGAACAGTCAATTGCCTTTAGATCACCTCTACACTGATATAACCGAAAACCGCGCTTTGCGGGGATGTAGAACTATCATTTCCAGGAGCAAAGCTGTTATATAAGGCCTGAGATGAATAGCTAATAACTGAAGATAGTAAAGAGTTGAGGTTGGTTTCAAAGGGTGAATTGAGTTGGTATTTTTCTCGAGAACAGCCTGCATACATGAAGATGTGAGCTTTGACAAGGTGGCCATGGTTAGTGAGGAGAGAGAAGAGAAAGAGGAGAGAAGAGAGTCTCAGTAGAGGTAAGATGGGGCAGTGAGTAGAGTGTTGGTGAAGGCTTCTCAACATTTTTTGTTTCTTGTTCTTTTCCAATGTGTCATGTTCCTCTCTTATTTGATTTTTGTTTTGATGCATTGGCTTCTTGGTGTGCGAAAGAATGAATGAGAGTGGTTGCTTTTGGGGGGTTTTTTTATGCAGTCTTCATGGACCTACTTGTAGATTCTCTAAGTAGATCATCTTGTCCACAAGTTTTTTTTCTTTTTTCAGTACCTTTAGTCATAAAAATTAACAAACAACTTTACTTTCAAAGAAAGACTAGAAACTCTGTCGAATTGACTATTACAAGCTTGAGCTCAACTCTAGCTAGATTTTAGATATGGGGTTTTAGATTTTTCCTCTTACGTTTAGCTCGACTAGGCTTGTTTTTGAATTACAAACTCGAACTCAAGCTAAGACTCGAGTAAATTAAAAAAAAAAAAAAACCCACTTCCAATAAGACTTGAATTCGTAATAGTTTAATGTGAAGGTAGGGATACTATTTCATTATTTTTTGGGCACAAATTACATATTGCATTAGCAACAACACCAACTCAAGTCTACCGAGCCAAGTATTATAGTGTTTGGACTCGGGTTACTTATAAATTCGTTTATAATTTGATCATATTCTATTTTATTTTCTAATAGAAACAAGTTTGGATAAGAGAAAAATGAAGTTGAGTCTAAGCCAACCCGAGTTACTCAATTCGTTTTACTATACCATTTGGATTATCACACTATAGAGTGATTGCAACAATAACAATTTAGTGGGTTCGAATATATTCGAGGCAAGGGTGTATCTATAAAGCATCTAATTCCTACTGCAAAATGGTTCAATTTCTTCTTGTAAGCATATTTACATTGAAGAGTTATATAGATCCATAAGAGTTGCCAGTGCCACTTGCCTGCCACCACCAATGAAAGCAGCTATATACCAAAACCCAGGTATATAGGAGGCCATAAAATCAATAAAAAGTTCGAGATCTTAAATTCGACTCAATGATTTGAAACTATCGATTATGGATGTATTATGATAATTAGTTGAAATATAGTCTCACTCATATACGGTGGGTGATTTACCATTAAATGAAATTATGTGAAAAAAATAATTGAATAAATCTAGATCCAAATGGAAATTGTAACCACATTTTAAAAAACTACTTATTAGCCCCAAATATATAATTGTGATTGAAATTAGGTGTGGTAACGGATCAGATTCCGAATCCGAATCCGAATCTCTTTAAATTTTTTTTTATAATATTCGATCCCTTTATCCAATGGACAGAAATATATTAATTCATATTCGAATTTGCTTATAATTCGGACATCTTATTCAATTACCCGATCATCGCATAATGATATTTCACCAAAATTTCAACAAATAATTTTTTTTTTAATATCAAATATAAATAATCAATATACACATATATTTCTATATCCATATCTGATTTAACATATCTAAATAAGTTCGAATCATATTCAGATAAATAGATGAAAATATTGGTCTATATCCATTTAAACGAATTTGAGTTCAGATCAAATTTAAATAAACGGATGAAATATTAGGCTATACTCAATTAAACAAATTTAAATCCGATTCAAAACGAAATCCAATTCATCGACAGACTTAACTTAAACCCGCTAGACGGTGGACTCCAAAGATCTGATCATCCTAAATCATAAGTCACATCGTACCACTCGGAAAGATTTGAATCAACCACTTGGACCTTATCTAGTAGCCTTATCAAGCCCGTCTTCAACTATGGGCCTCCAAGCCCATTAATACTGCCTAAAAGGAAGTGAGAATTCGAGGTTGCTATTTAGGAGACTTATAAGGTTTAAAATCCTAACTTTAAATATATTTGATTACAATGCTATAAAAGTGGTAGACCTATAAGATTTTTGGCATCCATTTGTATATTTGCATACTATACCTGTGACTAAAATTGAAAGGATGGAGCAAGCCCGAGCAAGAAAAAAAAAACAAAATACAAATATGTAAAAACAAACACTACTTAAACAAGTCCATTAAAAAAAAAAAAAAACTTAAAACCTTTGATGTTTTAAGAGGTATAATAAAAAAAATCTTTTTTCTTTTCAAATAAGGAATCATTGATGAGCCTGTTAATGAATTAGATTCTTATTCCAATTCAAATAGATTAATCAGATATGAATTAATATTTTTTATCGATAATTCGAACCCGAACTTAAATTCGAATTCAATTTCACAGATTTGAACCCGAATTATTTATATATTTTTTTATATAAAAATTAAAGAAATTAAGTAATTATTTTAAAAAATATAGTAAAAATTAATGTAAAATTTGTTAAAATTAAGATATTCACATTGAAATTCGAATTGTTAAACAACATAATGATCATTTTATTTCTAATAATACCCAAAAGAAATTTTAAGTTTGAGCTCGGGATTTGAAGTCAGGAAGGGAGCTTAGCTAAGAGAGCTTGAGCTCAGAGGTCCAGACCTAGAGCTCCCTCGACCTGCACCCCAAAGAAAATGAGTGGAAAACAAGCTGACAACCGCAAAACGTCCACTCAACGGCAGTAAGTGTTAGTCTAAACGCAATATCCTCAACTTTTCAAACCGTTTTCTGAAATCAAACGAGATATTTTGAAAGGAAGACGAACATCTCGCCATAGATCTCATGGAATTAAGAACTGGGCTATAAATACTATATAATATCTTCACTTCGAGGCAAGAGAACCAACATAGTGTTAAGAAGACTGTGTATTTCTTGGGTCATCTTCAATACAATTTTTAGGAGCAAGAGACTCTATTGAAAGGTAAATTAGTTAAACTTCCAAATTGGTAAATCATTATAATTCTTCGGTGCAAAGCATCCCTTATCCCTGAATTGCACCATTATTCTCGAGAGCCCTGTAAATTAGATCAAACCCAGCAGTATACAAAGACTGCTCAATCACGTTTTACACGCTATCAACTTCTTCATCTTATTGTTTTTATTTTAACTTAGCATTAAGCAGGGGGCGGAGTTGCATTGAGGCTACAAGGGCCATGGCCTTCTAAGTCGCAAAAATTAATATTTAATTTATACATTAATATTTTGTATTCCTCTCCCTCTTTAAAGTTTCTAGCTCCATTATTGAGCAACTAAGCATAATCCGTGCCTGAAGGCACGATAAAATATAAAATTTGAGCGTTCAAAAAATCGATCTCACTATATTAAATATTTTTAAAATATATTAACTACAAATTAATTAAATACTAAATAATTAAATATATGATAACAATGAGTGGTGTGATATTTTTAGGGAGAAATTATATATAAATTATTAAATATGTGATAGAAATAAGTGATATGATTTGATATTTGAATCTGACAAAAGGATGATGGATGAATTAAATAATTGGTGATAATTTTTAAAAAAAAAATATAATTAAGATAAAATTCAATTGGTCACCGCGTGTACATATCAGTTGTAAGTTCATTATTCCATATCCCTTGGAACAATGGAATGCATAGACGTCCCATCGTACTAAGAGGTAGGGGGGAAGTCTACGATAATTGGGGAAAAAAAAAGATATCCTTTTGAAAATTATGCGCGTATTTGATTTACGTTTCAAAAAATAGTATTCAAAAATAATTTTTGAAAAGAGTTTTAAAAAAATAATTTTAATATTTTTGAAATAAAAAATTTGTTTGGTTAGATAATTTCAAAAATAATTTTATAATGCATAAAATAGTAAAACATGTTTGGACAGTCTAAATATATATTTGAACAGTAATTCAAATATTAATAAAAAATTATAAAAAAATTATTTTTTATATTGACAATTTCATATATATATATACTCATATATGAATATCCAAAATTGTTCTCTTTGTTTGCAAAATTTTAAAAGAAAACTCTGAAAACAAGCTACATTTATTTTCTCTTTTTTTGATTCAAATCTCATTTTTTTTTTCAAAATTTAGAGAACAAAAATATTAAACAGACAGGTTTTAAATGTTTTCGAAATTTTGAGAACAAAAAACTATTTCCGGAAACTAAACCAAACATGACCTATATATTTGAAAGAAGCAGTTATAATTGATCAAAGAAAGCCTACGATCGATCAATTATGACTACTCTTTTATGAATTGTAACTTGATTTTTAAAAATTATAATTTTTAGGATCGATCATTCTCTGTACAAGTTATAACTTACACTTCAAAAAAATTATAACTTAATCTTAAAAAATTATAATTTTCAATACATATTGCTGGCGGTATCATAGCCTTCCTCGAGGTAAGAAAGGAGATATGAGCCAAGTTACGATAAAAAAAAATATATTGGGATCGGGTCTAAAATATTGTAATTGGTTTCAAACAACCACATTTTATTATAATATCACCAAATTAATTTCTAACTCCAATGCTACTTCATAATAATTTTGAGGGTAAAAATAATAGTTAGTCCCTCGATTTTGTCTTTGATTTTAATTTGATCTTTAAACTTTTAATTGTCTTAATTTAATCTCTTTACTATCAATTTTATCTCAATTAAATCATTTCTTTTATTTTCACCGTTAAGTAATATATTACGGCGGATGTTTGTGTTCAATCATGTTCGTATTGTAACTGATTCATACTGACACATTAAGAAGGTGCGACTGTGTAATTTAATCATGATTCAACTTTATTAAAACTGACAATCGAGGATAGTGCTATGGTACCAAAAAAAAAAATTTAATACTTTATCAAAACTTATAATTTTTAAATGTCAAATTATATCTTTTAAAGATAAAATTATAACTAATTGAAATTATTTATGATCGATCATAAAATATTTTAATTGATCACGAATAATATTAATTAGTTATAAATTCATTTTTAAAAAATGTAACTTCAGTTTAAGAAGTTGTAACCTAAGCTTTAAATGTTATTAACTTTTATCATGATCATATTTTTTATAATTATAACTTATACTCCAAAAAATTATAGAAAATTTCACTTTTCATCGTAAAAGATTTAAGAATTCTCACTTTACACTCTTAATGATGAAATTGTTCACATTACACCCTCAATGTATCAAAAATATTGTAACGTGATTTTTTTGTTACTTATTTCGTCAACTTAAATGGGGGTAGGTTTTGATAGAATAAATAACGAAAGATAACAAAAAAGTCACATTGCAGCACTTTTAATACATTGAAAGTACAATATAAGAAATCTCATTTTTAAAGGTACAAAGTGAGAAAGTTTAAATCTTTTTTAGGGTACCAAATAAAATTCTCTCAAAAAATTATAACTTACCCTTAAAAATTTTAATTTTTGGTACAATACCTTCGTCAATAATGAAGTCTTCCTCAGCAATTGGAGGGTGGATTAAGCATATTATCAATCATTCTATAATACCCTTGGGGTGTGTTTGGGTAATGGGATAGGGTAGGATAGGATTTCTATTTTTATATCTTAACGCATCTAAGTCAAACCCACTCATCCACTTTAAAACCCTAACTCAAAGTTACATTCAATCCTAACCTTTGTTTGGGAAACAAATGTATAATTCAGTGATTCCCATAGATTACACAAATAATTTTGTAGTAATTTACTATTCTACCCATGACTTTATCCATTTTAATCCTATCATATGTTTGGTTAACCTATCCAAGCCTAATAAAATTATACATTTTCCACGTATACATAAAAATATATAAAAATAAATAAAGTATAATATATATATATATATATATATTTTGGGTATTTTTTTTTCCAAACCAATCTTTTTTTTAACAAAAAAATATTTATTTATTTACAAAAAATAGAGTCATCAATTTCGGTCCAATTCACCAATTCCATATTTTCATCGTCTAGTTCAAGGTCATCAATTTCTACACCAAGACAAGGAGTACTCATTTCTTGGCCTTTGGAAATGCTCTCACCAAATGAAGGAAGTTATAAAAAAAAAGGGGACATTTAACCAATGGAAGGGGCATTCCAAAATACAATAATTTGACACTACTGTAACATGTCAAAACAAAGCATAGACACATTCCAAAAAATACAACACTTTCCATTTGGCGTGCTATAAAATGTTAAAACTTCCTGGGAAGGTGCAATATGGACACACACATATAGATACATGTCACAGGGTAACTTTCGTTTTTCTTTCGAGACTATCTGTGATGGCGTTGCTATTGCAACCAGCTACACACAAACTCAAGAATAAGGGACAGAAACTCACATAGAAGGCACACACGAATTTACTGGGACAAAACTCCCAAACCTTATATATTGAACTCAACAATTTACAAGGAACTCTCAAAGCCAGAACACTCTCTGCCTATCAGAATGCTCAAGCACCCCTATTTATACAGGAGTAAGGCAGATGACACCTCCATATGCCAAGGGGTAGTTACACACGTTTTTGCTATTCCATAACATACTTGTCTAGCAGGCTTCGTCTCTGTGCGACACTTGGCAGACAGTTTCACCCCTTTCAGTAACTGATGTGGAACTGTCTTTCATCAGCATACATCTGGACTGGATTCAGACTAAGGACGCCCAGAATTGCCTCAGCAACTGCCTTGATTGTGTCTCAGCATCTGCAACTGTCCACATCCTCCTAGTCACATGCATTGAGCAGCCATGGGCCAGTCATGTGCCCACATTCAGCAACCAGCCTTGCTTTACGAACCAATGTGCATGTTGGGTTCAACCCATGTCATGCAATCCGAAGCTATGCACCCACATTGCTTCAATTGAGCCTACCACGTACTGTCATGCTCAATCGGGTGGTCTCATGTTGTCTTGGTTCGTCTCAATCTGTCGAACCACTTAACCGCGTCACCTTGATTTCAACTTATGGTATGCCTTGGTGCAAGGTGTCACCGAGACCGGCCATTTGCACCCAAGTCAGTTAGGGTGTGACAATACATTTCTATGAAAGGAAAACATAAACATGATAAATTAGCGCAGCTGGACTTGGGGTGTAGTGGAGCTTTGAGAAAACCACCGAATAAGGTGGCTAACACTAGCCACTGGTTTACACCGTTGGTACTTTAATTCATCAAAATGTTTCCTCAGAGCTACCATAATGGTAAAGAAACTGATGTTTGTGACTTGCTGCATTTCAATCTTGGCTTTTTGATATTTCAATTTCTTGAAAACTCCCACAAACAAAAATTGGTTAATTTAGGTTCTTTCAATTCCACCAAAAAATAAAAATAAAAACTACATTTCCAATGAATATTGCTTCCTCAGAGACAAAAACATGGGAACTTTGAGTTAGGAAATTCCACTGCCATATTTTTCAAGAAAAGCTGATGAGGATCATGCCTTCAAGAATTTGACCATGCCAAACCTGTGCGTGGACATAGTAATAACCAATAAAAAGCCACAAGTGCTATAACATTCTACTTGGGATAAATCAAAAACCAAATAAGTGTCCACTCCAAGATTTCTGATCTCATAAAACTATATACACAAAGCTGTAACTCCACATTTGGCTTAAAGTTGATTATCTGACTAAAGACTCTCTGCTTGGTCCCAACCGATGATGATTATTATAAGCTGTTGCTTGGGTTTGGTATCCGGCCAGGTAAACAATTCAGCTTCCAAAAATGGGATCTCTACAGATTTTCGTATTGTGCGACCCAATGTGGGTATTTATTAGCACCTGGGTATGATATTTTTTTTTTTTAAAGAAAAGTAGGAATTTATTGATTGAAAACCAAAATTACAACAATCAAAAACAGATACTGTTCTAAGAAGGAACAGCTCCTGTTTCAACAGAAAAAACAGTAAAAACTGTTTATACAAGAATCAAAACTGCTATAAACAGATAATTCCTGTGCAATGACTGTAGCAGCTCCCTGTAGTCCTCTGATCCAATTGCACCTTCTGATCCATACAGATGCACAGAACCAGCTACAGCACAGTCAAGCAGGCATCCTGCAAGAGACAGTCCCATATCTATTCAGATCAGCTCGCCAGACTACCTGCATGAACCAAACAGCAACCTGATACCAACATTCTGCTAAAAGAGATTCCAACTGAAAAAATCCAATAACAACATTCTGCTAAAAGAAATCCATCTGAGAAGTTATCTGCTAAAACCGCGCCTCATATGGCAATGAATCTGCAGAAGTTATCTCCGTATCCGTACAATCTTTTTTTTTTTTGGGTGGAACCTCGACGGTGCGACAGAGATTTTATTGATTAAAAATAAATTACACCTAGTCAGGGGGAACGTATGTACCTTACCACTCGATGCAATCTAATTACATAGTTGAAATTATAAAATAAAGAAAAGGCAACAATGCATCCATAGTACAAATAATAGTAAGAAATCAAATGATATACTAAACATACGCCTAAAATTAAATGAGCTAAGAGCTCAGATCTGGACTCCTTCGCAGAGTGAACGATTGCCCTAGACTACAAGGGAAACCACACCATTTATTTTCTGTTCTACCCGTGTTTTGGGTTTAGCTTCTCTTCTGTTTCTTCATTTTACTTTGTGAAAAGTTCACTTCTAGTTTTTGGTCCAGACAGCAATAGACAAAGCAAACGTACTTCAATCATGCAACTACTGGCGCTAGACTGACAATCTTTTATGTGTTTGTGTATAATGATGAATTCACTCCATTGTATTTGGTGTTTATCATTTGGTATATCCATTTGAGGGCATGGATTTGAACGCTTGTACTTCTTCATTAACCTTGTTCTATAATACACTTTCAGGCCCAGACTCCAATCTTCTGTAGTGGTGTTTTGGATTCTCTCGTTATTGAGTTGAAGGGATCAAAGGACTTCTGTAAGTTGTACTCAGGCATTGCAATCCTTGGATACATTTCTTCAATTTCAGATCCTATCAACATCCAGGCCTTCTCTCATCTTGTCACTTTTCTTGGCCATCGATACCCCAAGGTTTGTTGTTTGCATTAGTTCTGTTCAATGATGAATTTTAGATGCCCATAGATTACTTGTTTAGCCATTACATAATAAATTGTCGTCTCTGATTTTAACCCAATCAGCTGAAACAAAAGAATTAGAAGAATATGGAAGAAAAATGGATATCTTAGTTTTTTGATTCTTTTAATTCTTCTCACCCAGATTCGGAAGGCTTCTGCAGAACAAGTCTACCTTGTACTCCTGGAAAATGAACATCTTGTGGCAGAGGATAAATTAGAGAAAGCACTTGAAATTATTTCTGAAACTTGCTGGGAAGGTGATGTAGAAGAAGCGAAGCACCATAGGTTACAATTGTGCGATCTAGCTGACCTAGAAACTAGGCAACCTCAAAAAACTAGCTATGGAGTATCAAACGATAATGGTGAACAGAGGCGCAAAACTACAGATGAAAATGCATCATATGCTTCACTAGTAGGGTCAGCTGGGTTCTGATTGTCTGAATCGAATGTCTCCACCTTTTTGTTGTACATTTAGATTACACTTTCTCACCAACAAACCTCGAGCATTGGTTATAATCCAACTGCCGGAGTGTAAAAAAAACACTTGTGTTTGATTGGTTGGGGTAAAATTGTTTGTATTTTTTTTTTTGTTGTTCTGGATATTTACTCGGTAGATATGTTACACTTTATGTCCTGTGTTATGAGATTTACCTACTTCACAGAGTCCGAGTTTTTATACTTTTTATTTATTTTGTTGGCCTTCTTAAACCGAAATCTGTCAAAAACGAGTTTTTTCTAGTGGTCTGCAGGCTTTAACATTTGATCCGACACAAAGAACTAGCCGTCTGAGCTTTGAGCCCAGTGGAACGGCCTGCTATATACATACGGAATTGCCGTCAAAACTAGCCGGAGAGCGGCACAGGCAAGTGAACTTACTCTGGATGGTTAAGCATAACATTACTGAAAAAACAACTTGACTTGCCCTTGATGTATTATTAAAAGTGTTAAATGTTGTCTTCTTGTTAGCTTCCATTATTCATTGTGTCAAGTCTGTAGGAGATCTGTTTTACAGAATGAGTACCAGAAGCCAACGCTATGACTACCATGTAACAACACTTCATAAATTAAGGGAGTAATTTTAAGAAACTAATCTTCAAGGATGCAAACTGAAAGTTCTTAAATCTTTTGGAGTGAAAAATGCATTTCACTCAAAATTGAGTCTTCACAGTAACTAAATAACACTCTTTTTTTCCCGCCATATATGTTCCTATCAGAGATTGCCTTTTTTCTATAGAAAGGGAAAAAAAAATAGATAAAAATAAACTCATTGTTTTCCCTCTAATTCAAGTGGTAGCTGATTGTGTCGCTCGCTCAGAATACACCATGCAAGCTCTTGTTCAATTTCATCATCTAAGAGATTACGGATTACTATTCTTCTAATCAATGAAAGAGTTAATAATGGCAGTCTCACACAATAAATTTTTGTCGTCTGAGGGTCGGTTCATTTCGACGCATCCGCCGTACAGCCCCAACTTATGAAATTAGCCAGGGGAACACATTCGGGGATGTAGGAAGGCGTGCAGTAAGAATTTCTACTCCAGTCTCGGTCACCTACACACGATTAATGCAAGCAAACGAGTGATAATACAAAGGGACTCGGTACAGATTCTTAAGATGCCCAATGGCAGAGAAATCCAATAAATGCAGAGCATTATTTGCATTAATTTAATTACAGATGTTTTTTTCCGTCTTCTCACATACTCGAAATCTTAGACTTCGAATTGAGAGGTGTGTTTTTAGACACGAACTATCTCCTCTAAAAGTGTTCCTTGATGAGAAAATTGTAAGATAATCGATGGCTCTCTATTTTGTTTTTTACATTTTTTATGTAAAGAAAAATAATGGACTGGAATAAATATAAGTTAATTTTCAAGTACTTTTTTCTAACTTTTAATTTTAGGTTTTTAATGTTACGGATTTCATGACCATCAACCCAAATTATTGCAACAAAAATTGATTGAACTTAATTTTTTGGGCTTAAAATTTAATAAATTTTTTTTTGGACTAATAATATACCTAAGATTATGGAGTCTTCTAAAAACTTTGGACCTAAAGCCCAACCTTTATTTTCTATACTATTGCGCCAACCCAGAATATTATGCCAACCATATTTAATTTTGATGATACTTCAAACAGGCTCTAAGACCATCTCCAATGGAGACACTCATACCTTTACTTAAATTTTGCGTAAACAAAAAAATAAAAAAACTTAATTTAGTATAAATTTTTCCAATGAAAAAACTCAAATTTAAAAGAAAAGAAATCCAAATTTATGAGAACAAATTCAAATTTAAAAGAGGGTAAAATATAACTATTGGATCTTTAAAAGTAGGGTAAAATCTCACAATTAAATATTTGAATATGGATTTGAATTTCCCTTGATTTGAGTGAAAAAAAATAAATCCCACTTGAATTGATATGGATATGAATTTAACATTGGAGACTTTTTAGAGATTTTTATTCAAATTTAAATTTGAGTTTAAAAAAAAAGTAAAGATCAGATGCTCTAAGAGTAAGGGGTCTTTAAGTGTTACACAAACGCGTCGCAGGGGTCTTGGTATTTATGGGGGGTAATTTACCCAAATAGCAATAATAGTGAGAGGCACAAGCAAAACGATACAGAAAGGATTATGTAGTGAAAATGCAGTCTTACCAAAAGTGTGTGTTCGAACTGAGCACTGCGTTTTCCATCTGCAGTAACGGAAGTCCATCCATCAGGCCACATTCGATCCCGCCAAACACCTATCATGAAGGTTCTTTAAGATGTAAGGAGCAGGAATTGAGACAGCGCAACTGGTAGGTTATTCGTCTTCAAGCATTGTCAAATTACCTGCATTTATCATAGGTTCAATGGAAAAGGTCTGGCCAGCCTTCATCACACCAACTGCTTTATTTCCTGCATAGGTCAAGGTCAATACAGACATGAGCGCAAAGACCTAACTTTATAATATGGAAATCTGGAGTCGGCTCACTATGTACTCTGCGTTCTTCAGTCTTTTCCTAGAAAGATATTACATAAAAAAGAATATTCAGATTGGAAAGCTAATTTTTTGAGCATACTTGCATAATGGGGAATATTTGGTGCACAATGGAAGAGCTCTCCGATACCATGCCCACAATAAGATCTCACCTATTTCCTCAACAAAAAAGGAGAGAAAAGTTAAGAATCAGTCATATCCTCATTTGGAATAAATAAGAAAAACAAACAACCAAGACTCAGGATTGCAGATTACCACGGAGAAACCTGACATTGAAGCATGCCGATTAATGACTTCCCCAATTTCCCTAAATCGTACTCCAGGTTTAACTGGAAACAAACAGTGGATGGTGTTTATATATCAGGATGAAAGAAGAAGAAAGTCCTTATTTTAGAAACAATGAAACATACAAGGAAAATGGTTGAAACTAACATACTGAAAGTCTTCACAAATAACCAATAAATGTGCAAAAAAACTTAATAGTATTTATGACCAGTTAAGTTTCAAAATATCTTAATACAGGTCAGCCACAGAGATAAATTATACATATATAGCTATTGTAACGTCACACTCAAAACTAAAACAATCAACAACCCAGAATGGGGTGCGAGTACTTTTAATTGATTTTTTGGGTGAGAATAGTTTCCCAAAGGTTTGAAATATCTGTTACTAAGGAATACTGAGATTCCCAGATGCATAATCTCAACTGCCCAAAACACGTATTTAAGTCTTACTGGGATAACAAGGTATTGATTGCTGATTTTAACAATGGTCATCCAAGACCTTAGGTAGTTAGGTTTTCTAAATTATCATCAATATTTCAGGCAAACATTCAAAACACTGTAAGGGTAAATGAGAAAGAGATAACCATATAATAACTAAGAAAGACTAGCAGGTTTGACTAATCAACTAATAAAAGACACAAATGACGAGCATAATAACTAAGAAAGACTTGGAGGTATGACTAATTAAAACTTACACAGCTTCCTAAGAAAGCTTTTAGGTGTTACAATATTCAATTACCAACGGAATGAGAATCTAAATTTTATAGGAATAACATTTCATACTAGTAGAGCATCTAACCCAAAACCAATTGGCAAAAGGTCAAGTGCCCTCTCAAGTATATAAACTATGATAACTTGAGTTATTAATTAGAAAGATAACTATGATTCTATATTATCAAAGTTTATTTTTTACAACGATCAAAATTTCGTTTTGGCACATAGTTTCGGTGAGCTTAAAACGGAAACGGTAATGTTTCAGAAATAAGATGGAAACAAAGAAAAATTTGAAAATTTATTTTTGCAATATTGGTCGATATATAAGTTGAAACATGACGAAATACCTCGAAACCTAACAAAATATCTCAAAACATCTCAAAATGTAGGAATTTTAATATTCAATCAACGATTCGTTTCGGACTTTTTGAAACGAAATTTAATTTCTTAATGTTTTATAAATTTAAAATAAACAAATGGACTTCAAATTTGGGTTCCTTGCATGCAAAGGAATTAAATGACTATAATATTGATTATATTTAATAAATATCTAAAGTATCCGAACAGTGTAAAGTGTGTAAAAATATGTCACAAATCAATATGTAATGAAAAAAGTGACATGTCACATTTGGAATGACTATTGGACAAGTGTCACATTGGGATGGGAATAAAGGGCTATACATATGGGTTGATATATGTCTTATTTTTTATTTTTTAATGTTTAAAAAGGAACAACCACGGAAAATGGACAAGTGCCCATGAGGTAAGCAAGGGGGCTTGGAGGCCAAGTAAGGCCATTATTTGTGTTGCTATAAATAGGTGAGTAATCAATAGGCAAACCGTGGTAAAAAGAAAGGAAGAAAGGAGATAGGAAGAAGAAAGGGAAAAAAAAAAAGATAGAGAAAAAGAAAGAAGGAAAAAATATAACAAGGTTTTGGGTTCAAGATTAGATGGTGATTTTAGACTCAAAGTCTATGAAATTTGTCTATGTTGTTCTTAAAACGATGGTAATCAAATTTATTGGTATCCCTTGGTGATTCGAGGTAAGGGATAGTATACAATATGTTCCTGTCTTTAAATCTCTTTACAAAGAATGTTCTTTTGATCATCTCAAAATTTGTATTCCTCCTGATTGTTTTCGGCTGATATGAAATTCTAAAACTTTTGTTGAGCTGACCGATTTTTTGGGTTAAATACTTTGGGATTGATTGGTACAGATACAAAGTGTGCCTAGGGCATAGTTTGTAAAATATGATTGTGCCCCAGTAGGTGTGATTGTTTGATATGAGTATGAATTTATATGTCCAAGTTTCCTTGTCATGTAGTCAAGATGAACCAAGTATGAGACTATATTTCATAACAATTGAATTATGTGACATGTCAAAGTTGATTATGTTGTCCATAATTGTCTATCGATTAAGTTCTTTGATATTTGATAATTCATATTTTTTTATTAT